GATTTTTCTGCTGCAAAAATTAAATAAAATTTAAAAAAAAACCAACAAGCCAACAAGCTACAAAAGCTCAATAGTGAAGATTAGTGTATTAGAAATTGCATGGTGGCTCATACCGGTCTTACCCAACATGACTGACAATTACTATAAGCCAAAAGCAAATGAAATAAACTGAAATAAATGAAATAAATTTCCCTTTTCACGGTACAAGGGAAGGTTGTCGTGGTGTCCCAGTTATTCTCAGCCCTCCTCCCCTTTTCCTGCCGCTCTGGGCTCTCCCCAAAGGCGTTTTAGGGTGGTTTGGGGAGCAGAGCGAGGGGCAGATCTTGGGGGGATTTTGGTGTTGAGGGTGTCAGGAGGAGCTGTTGGAGGGATTTGGGTGTTGAGGGTGTCAGGAGGAGCTGTTGGAAGGATTTGGGTGTTGAAGGTCTCAGGTGGCTCAGCCCTGCTGGGGCTGTGGGGTCGGTGCCTGCCTGGGGCTCCCTTTGAGGCAGGGGAGGAGAGGATGGAGCTCCAGGCAGGTGAGGAGAGGATGGGGACCCCAAGCAGGTGAGGATGAAGCTCCAGGCAGGTGAGGACCCCAGGCAGGTGAGGATGGGGGTCCCAGGCAGGTGAGGAGAGGATGGAGCTCCAGGCAGGTGAGGACCCCAGGCAGGTGAGGATGGGGTCTCAGGCAGGTGAGGATGGAGCTCCAGGCAGGTGAGGGCCCCAGGCAGGTGAGGATGGGGGCCCCAGGCAGGTGAGGAGAGGATGGGGGTCCCAGGCAGGTGAGGACCCCAAGCAGGTGAGGATGGGGTCTCAGGCAGGTGAGGATGGAGCTCCAGGCAGGTGAGGACCCCAAGCAGGTGAGGATGCTCCATTCTGGATCTGCCCTGGCAGGTGAGGATGTTCTGTGATGGCTCAACCTGTAACTGCTCACCTGCACCCCTCATCTGTATCCCCTCACCTGTAACCACCTGTAACCCCATATCCTCTAACTCATCCCTAACCCCTCACCTGTAACCCCATATCCTATAACCCATCATCCTATAACCCATCATCCTATAACCCCTCACCTGTAACCCACCTATAACCCATCATCCTATAACCCCTCACCTGTAACCCCTCACCTGTAACCTTATATCCTATAACCCATCATTCTATAACCCCATATCCTGTATCCCCTCACCTGTAACCCCTCACCTTTACCCCTCCATCCTACAAC